GAACGAGCCCCAGCCGTTGCACGGTTCCGGCATCTGTAAGTGGTTCAATGTCCGCATGGGCTTCGGGTTCCTCTCCATGACCGCCAAGGGCGGCGCGACGCTGGACTCGCCCGTCGATGTCTTCGTGCACCAGGTATGTGGCCGGGATCCCGCGTGGGGTCGTGGGGAGGGAAGGGCGTGCAGCTCCTGGCACCTTCCTGGGAAGATGCGAGGCGGGATGGGGACACCCACCCACGCCGTCTCCACGCGAGGCCGTGGCTCCCATCCCATCCCATCCCATCCCATCCCATCCCATCCCGGGGGGTGGCGGGGTCCCCCGGGTTCGTTCGGCCCGGAGCGAGGAGGGTGTCGAAGGGCAGGCACCGCCGCTCGACCCGCCGCATCCAGGGGCTGCTCCCCGGGGACCGGCACTGTAAGCTGATCCCTGAGCGATTTAATTTTCCCACCGTGGGTCCCTGGGGAGCCCCTTCGGGGCCGCATCCAGGGGCTCAGGTGCCCGCGGGGCTGAGCGGGACGTGCCAGAGCAGGGATGCGGAGAGACTGCGGGAAGAGCCGGTGTTCCCCCGGGGACAGGCTCCTGGGAGCCCTGAGCCGGGCAGGGATGCAGGATTGGGCTTTCCCCAGCCGGTGGCTCATCCCTGGATGGGGGTATCTCTGCTTGGGCCCCTTGTTTCAGCTGCGGATGCCACAAAGGCATGCGGGGTCACGTACGTGCCCCTGTGGAACCTGTACGATAGTGACAGTCTCCTGTCCGGATTTGACCCCACACACCTTGCTGAGGGGGAAGCCCCACCGTGTCGGTGATCCTGCGCTGAGGGAAGTCGTGGATTTGGGGCTGCGGGTGCTTGAGCCTGCGGGGGAGGATCTGCCAGGGGACCCCATTTAGCGGCTGGGGAAATGGGTGTGGAGATGGTCCCCAAATCGGGGCCGGCGCTGGGAGGGAGATGTGGGGCTCAGCGCTGGCTTGTGTGGAAAGGGGTCTGTGATGACCGTGGGCCGTGCTCCCTCACCCCTGGAAAACAGTGGCCCTCGGGGATGGGGAGCATGAGTGAAGGGGGCTCGGGCATCTCTGGAGCAAACAAGAGTGGACTTATGAGTACAGCTGGGAGCAGCCGCACAGGATTTGGGCTGAGGCAGCATGATGGTGCTGGCTCAGGGGAGCTGCTACTCTCCATGGATCCAAATCACCCCAAATTAGGGTTTGTCCCACAGTTTGCTGATGGGCTGGGGGCACAGGGCTCCTGGGACCAGGGTCTCTCTGGGGTTTTTCACCCCCTGCCCACGAGGCAGTGGCTGCTCCAGGCAGGGCTACGGCGGTTTGGCAAGGGAATGATGACCAAGGAAGAAGCAAATCCCTTCTCCTTCAGCTGCGGCATGGCGAAAGCACCTCGGTAGGAGCTACTGTCCCGGGCCAGAAATACGGTTGGGTTCGGAGGGTCCAAATCAGCCGGGGAAAACCGAGATCCTGGTGTTCTGAGAGAGCAAAGGGGTCTTTGCATCTCAATGTAGCACAGCGGGACCCAGTGCCCGTGGGGGGAAGCCTCCTGCCCTCCCTGCCTTCTCCCCGGGGTTTATTGCCCCCAGACAGTCTGGTTTCCTGATTGCTCTTGCTCACATTCCTCCAGGAAAAGAGAATTAGCCGGGGTGTCTCTGCCGGGAGCATCCTGCTGCCCGGGGAGAGCTCCAGCCTCCCGGCATCCCCCGTTTGCCACGGCCGGGGCAGCCATGGGGTGCACAGGGTTTGCTGTGTTTGGGAAATGTGATGAACACTGGGTAAAAGTGGGTTATTTTGGGTAGCAGAGGGGCAGCCTGTGTGTGTGGTTCCTTGCTGCAGCCAAGGCAGGCTGAGCCCAGTGCCAGGCTTTGCACTGCAAGAAACAGGGCAGCTTTGGGCTGATGCTGAGTCTTTCTTCAGGTCGGGCTTCGCCTCTCACCCTGCTTGCTGGTGGCACAAAGTCACTGCTTGCTTGCAGCGAAACAGCCTGGGCTGATGCCGGTGGTTCTCCCACCACAGAGCATCCCGGCACCAGATCAGCCCTGGCCCCTCCTCGGAGAGGGACCAAACTCACGCCCCCACACTGCCCTCGCTGCTTTTGGGTGGCTCGTGGGGAAATCGTGCCGATGCTCTCCCCATCCAGGCGATTCCCGAAAGCCGGTGCTGGCTCTGCGCCTCAGGGAGGGAGTCAGACCTGGGAGGGCAAAAGCCGGCACCATCCTGGGGGGGACGAGACACAGGGCTCAGGGTGCTGCACCCACTGCCCACATCACACACCGTGTCCCAAACCAGCCTTTGGGATTTAACACCCCAGAGCCCCCCATAACCCGCTCCTTCCCCTCTTCATTTACATACGTGAATGATGACCCACAGGAAGTAATTGTGGGAGAAAGAAGGGAATTGGCCTCTTTAGATCTATTAAATCACTTTATTACAGGAACCAGGTCTGAATGGCCCTTCTCTGCAGGGAGCGCGTCTCCATCTCCCTCTCCCTTTATCTGATCACAAAGAGATTAAAATCTCGGCAGGACAGGAGACTAACAGGGCTCCTCGGGGCTGCCTTTCCCTCGCATTGTGAGATAAAAATGAGGCATTTGGGTTCAAATGCCTCCCCTGGACACTGGAGATGGATTCATTTGGGGGCTGTGAGGAGACGGGGCGGGGGGGGGGATGAAGCACAGAGCGAGTCGTCCCGGGGAGGCGAAGGGCTGAGCAGCGCCCATGAAAGGGTGGGGGGTCTCGAGGTGGCAGAAATCAGGCTGGTGCTGGGGAAGACCTCAAAGCTGAGGTGGTCCCCTGGGGATGTGGCTCCCGGGCTCGCACAGCAGCTCTGGGCATCGCTTACAGGAGTGTGGGGCTGCCGGGGAAGGCAACCTGGAAAAAGGGAGAGGAGTAAATCTGGGCACCCTGTGGCCCCAAGGCTCAGTGCCGCTGGCCAGAGCAGGAGGAGGAAGCGCAGCCCAGCACGGTTGTGGTTTGCAGCCCATCCCCAAAACTGGTCCTGGTGTCCCTGGCTGAGTGTGGAGGGGAAGGGGCTGCCCAACCCCTGGGAACTGCTGCTCCGCACCGCTCAGCTCTGTATCTCCCAAGTGTTTCCTCAAGCCAACAAGTCTAAACCCTTGATAAAGGCAAACTTAGTTGGGGTTTTTTGGTTCCTTCTCGTGATTTTTGGCAAGGAGAGCTTCTGGGCACTGCTGGGACCCCGCGGTTGCTGCGTCTGCAGGGCGGTCAGTGGCATCTCTGTGAGACGGCGTTGGTGGAGGGGCTCCATCCCCACCTGGCTGGGCAGGGGATGGGGCAGAGGGGGATGATGGCTGCTGTTCGGCTGTGGGTTTTTGCTGAGCCAACCTTGGCTGTTGCCCACCTGTGCTCGTGCCATCCCCCTGCATGGAGCCAGGCAAGACATGACCGTGATGCAAGTTTGGTTTTTAAAAAAAAAAAAAAAAAAAAAGAAAAATAGAGCACGTGTTTGGAGGCAGCTCCATCCCCGAGCACACAGGAGAGCAAAGGCAGGGACAGAAGGGAAGATTTCTCCATCGGGGAGCAGAGTCCAGCCTTCCTGCAGGGTCCCCTCCTGCCTTTCCCCCGGGCTGGGGTGCAGGGCAGGATCCGGCCGGTGGGGGGGTTGGTTTGTGTGGAGCTGGGGTGGCAGCAAGGGGAAGGGGGAACCCACTCAGAGCAGCGGTTTGTTAGTCGGTGCATTGGACCCGTGATGCTCATAGAGGCACGGGGCACATTTAATATCTCGCTTTTTCCTGCTTTCTCATGTGTGTCGCTCCTGAGTTTTCTCCTCGGGACCAGGGTGACCCCACAGC